CACTCGCCACATTTAATTTCACAGTCAGTGCTATATGAAAGGTCTATTTATGTCTCAAAATTATACTTTTTCGTCTAAAGTAACACGCAATTACAAACTGTGGCAAATGAGCATTCTTGTATCCTGAAAATTGGATAGGCCTATCTTCAGTTTGAGAGGTGTTAAATTTGTCAGAGAGATAGGCATTCCATATAGCCCTTACTGAAATGAAGTATGGCTAGTGGTCTGCCAATTTGAGTCACGCAAAGAAAATGGAAATATTTCTTAACATTTAGGGTACATTTTTGTATGAAGTAATACGCAATTATAAATTGCGGCAAATGATCATTCTTGTATCCTGAAAAGAGGCGTTTTGACACCGAAATAGCCATTGTATGCTGCCCTGGGCTTGCTAAAAATAATTAGGGGTCGGGGCTGAAGCAATTGGAATAATGAAATAAAAAATGATGAATTACTTACATTTTTGGTAAACCTTTTCTCAAATCAAGTAACAAGAATAGAATATTCTCTGCTGAATATCTTAGATTGTGAATAGCTTAGAACATGTTTCCCAAATAAAGAAATGAACCTGACTTATACGCGATGAAATCAGGTTGATTATTAAACCTTTTCCCTCAATGAATGTTATTTTCCTCAGTTTCATGTTGAAAAAATGCTATTTTTGAAAGAAATTCAAAATTTCGTTCAATTTATCGTGAAACAGAGTGACGCCAAGTGGAAAAATTACTGCCTCCCTTTAATGCATGGATTATTGTTATTGCTGTGAGCCGAATTGCGGGTTAAATCGCGGGCTGAATCGCGGGCTGCCTTCAACCAGGTGTGGACGGGCGGCGAGGATGTGCCGATAAAAGGCTTGCACTGTACCCAGTTCCTAAAGGGGTTGCTTCACGCTTTCGCCTTAGGTTTGCATGGAACCACTCTACAAATTCACGTTAGTCTGGCACTGGAATATTGTGGCACACAGTGTGTAAACCACACGTGCAAAACTAATTATCTTGGTCACCATACCAATGATCAGTCAATAAATTTTTGGGAATTTCGAATGAGGCATGGACGAGGAACTTTGCACTTCTCTCTCGTTTTGAGTTTTCTACTGTACATTTTTATAAGATGAGGTGTCATGTACAGCAGAAATAAAGTACGCACGAGTGTTACACCGAAGGAGGTATATAATCACAAATAAGGCGCCACTTAACTGCATTATGTTTAGATCTATCGTTAGCCCAGCTGGTTGGACGTTGCCTTCTAAACGTACAGTATAATTCAAAATACACTACTTTGTACCAAGTTTTTACTAATACTACGTTTATTGGTAGACGACGACCACTGGGCGTCTATCATTTCACTTGCGGAGGCGCACATCACAACTCGGGGACTGTCCCTGTATTCGGAGAAGTCCCTTTATTTGGGAACAGAGCCATCAAAAAGCAAAAACGTGCAGAAAAATTCAATTTTTAGGAGGGCAAATACCAAGTAATTACTGGGCCTACAGTAAGGAAAATATGGCTATGGAGGATGAAAAGTGGCCATCTGCCTATCTGCTGTCAGAATGGTAGAAAAGCAGATTTTATGTTCTCGTAACATGCAATTTCGACTTTTCTGCCACCTCAAAAACCAGAACGAACATGGTTTGGTTATGCATTTTTCTATTTTTCGATTTTACTTTTTCTTCGTTCGCTGGCGGCCGAAAAGCGGCCATCTGCTTTTCTCGGTTTGCACAGGCAGAAATGGGGACCGAACGTTTTGATAAGAACCGTGAATTGTACTTTTAAAATTTTTTTTTAATACCTGAGGAACAATTTTACATACGTGGGTGGCCGAAAAGTGGCCATCTGCTTTTCTGCCTTCCAAGGGCCGCGAAAGGGGTTGTGAACCTCAGGTTATAACCATTTCCTTTCTTTGGGATTGAAGACGTATGAACCAATAATTGCAATCCACCCTGTCTTTTATCAGTTTTTATTGTGAAAGATTCTCATGTTTTCCTTTTCAAAAAGTGAGTCAGACTGACAATGAGTCCGGGTGAGTCAGATGATGAGTTAGAGAAGAGTCTGTCAGAGAGTGAGTTGGTCAGTTGTGAGTAAGAAGTTGGGTTGCTTAAAACGCAACCCAATTACCCTGTGACTGTCTCGTCCTTTGAACAATTCACCTCATGACCGACTGACTGACCTCTTCAATCCCTGATTCCCTCTCTCACTGACCAACTCCATCCAACTTGTCCCTGGCTAACGTGCCCCCAGGATAACTTACAATCCTGGGAATATGTCCCGACCACTCATTTGCACTAACTCTTAATTGCTTGCCTCTCCATGACTAGTGGGGAAGCACATTGTACCTGTGCTCAGAGCACATAAAAGCAGGCACCGTTATCATTGATAATTTGTGCAAGTTTACGCTTGTTTGACGTACTTATGGAACTTTTGTCCCTCAAGTATTAATTGGTTGTAAATGCAAGTCATGAAGTGGGTGGATGATCCTTAAATTGTTGAACGTTTCAGTAGATTTCCAATTTCATCTGTGTCTGACAGGTAAACCCGTTTGGCCTTCAGTTTAGTCTCCAAGCCCAGGCCACGACAGTCAATGAGAGACCCCCAGCCAATAAACAGGTAATATACGGTACCGCACACAGGGAGATGATTTTCCTGTGACACTGTTTATTAAACGTTTCATTGACCCAAACTACCATTTGTGTACCGACTCTCGGCAAAGTTTAGCTGCATGTAAATAGACCTGTGTATTGATGACATCTGTCTTTCTTTGTGTGTACTTTCCTATGGAGTCAGTCGAGGCCCTTGGTCCACTGAGCACCATACGAAGGAACACACATAAAGTATGATGCCGTCAATGCAGATGTTTATATTCAGTGCTGATTATTACAGCATCATGTAAGGACTAATTTTTCACTTTAATGAAATACTAATGGTTGCCTTGTTACAACCACTGTACGTTTGATTGTCATCAGTTGATTTTGCGAAACGTTTGTGTAACTCCACTTACGCCACTTTTTATTGCGTAAGTTGCGCAACAAATTAAGACCAAGTTCACAAAACTTACACACTGTGTAAGTCCGCGACTTACGTTTGACTAGCTTATGGTGTTTGGTTAAGCCTCATCATTGCTGAACTTAACCATGTTAACAAGGCTGATATGAGAAATCTACAACTTTGTTGTAGAAGGTAGTGACAAACTTGTTTGGCTGTGAACTGTGAGACTTTCCGTTCAGTTCCGATGAAAAAGACAAAAACTTGTTCGAATTGTGGGTGGATGTAATTCAACGACTGCTTGATGACTGCTGTTATATTGGAAAAGAACGGCCGCCGTAAAAGCTGTTTTCATCCTCATTGGAGAAATTTAATATTATTAAATCGTGGCGCGGCTACGCAACATTTGCAAAATCAAATGTATGTGTACTGCACAGCTACGGCATGAATTTGTGACACAAGGCTTACACATGGTTGAAAGTTACACCATGTCTCGTGAAATCAGCTGCAGGAGATCTAATCAACCTCCTTCTTGCCAAAGAAAAAAAGTAAATGGACTCTGTAGTTTCCCTGAGAATCAATGATGCCATTGCTGATGCATGCTGTACAAAGCGTGGAGATACATGTACATGTACATGTATTTGTCAGCCATATGCAGTCATTGTGTGTTTTCATATCGTTGGTTTGTTTACTTCAATTTTAGCCTTTATTTTTGCTTCATTGCCAAGCGTCATAGCTCAGTGACCAAATTAAGGGAACTTTCCTTCTCTTTGATTTGGCTTTGTCCCCACCCAAATTTGCTTGGCCTTCAAAGTGCTGTTTTCGTTCCGCTTGCTTAATTTTGAAGGCCGAGTGTGTGGCTGCTACATTGTTAAAAGTTTTCTCTCTCTTTGAAGTGGAGAGGAAGTCGTTTGGGCAGTTGTTCCACCATGCTCACTGCAGTGTAAATGTACTGGGATACATGCATCATCTTCATTCATTGCCATGTTCATTTTATTGCCAGAGTTGAGGCACAGACTTTAATTCTACAATTTTCTGTTCTTTTGCAACTTCCTAGCACCTGCAGAACCCAAACATTCACTGCAAAGTCTCCTTGAAATAAAAATGTAACATTGTACAAATAATGAATGTTTATGAGTACAATGCGGCTCATTGAATGGAACATTTCATCTTTCAACCAATGACAGTATTCTTTCCACTGCACGAAGGAAAAACCTTCATTATTTGTTTTATATAATATCTAAGTAGATCTTTGTCACTTGTTAGGAGGATAACTTTATAAAATATATGAATATCTGCTTCGTCATTCAGCAAGGTTCTAGTTTACGTACAGCGCACTGAATTTGTTTCTTTGCATTCTTTCTGTCTGCTCCGTCAAGTAATTCGGCAATTTCCTCAGCAACAGAAAGTTGCTTGAACCCCCCACCAGTTTAGTGATCATGGGTATAATATGTGTCTTCTGTTGACCAATTATTTATTGAAGTCCTTTGCGTGCCATAGATCAAACTGCATATAAGCAAAAATGCACGATGTATATAACAAATTTCAATGTTCATGATGTCAGCCACGAAATACATGTAGTCTACATGTATTTATAAAATATCAAGGGAACTACAATCCTCCAATCAAATGACAAGGATCTACTTAGGTGTTATGTAATACACAACATATACTGTTAATTCAACAAATGAAAAATCATTCTAGTACAGGTGCTATCCCGAAAGTCTCGTCCGAACAATGCACAAACGCTTGTGTTGTGAAACTTATATACAATAAGAAAATTTACAATGTCAAGTACACGTAAATGTACATCGTAAATTTTCTCTGTTTTACGCTAAAGTATCAGTTTATGAAACCAGTCGTTGTATGTGCCCAACTGTCCAATGATTCTTGAAAGTTTTGTGCTCTCATACAACTGTCAGACCAGACCTTTATAATTTTGGTGTCATTTTTGGATGAAGATACATGTACATGTACTGGAAGCCAGTTAGGAAAAAAGTGTGGAGCGTACAGTACCTGTAAAGGCTGACACTGTGGGTTGATAATGGGCCTGATAGAGCAGGTATTGTTGGAACTGTTGACAAATGTAGTCAGGGAAGTTTAGTGTATTTACACTCCATGGAATTCCGTAAACATCTCAGGCAAACAAGACATCGAACCAGGAGGATTCATGCTTACATTGATGGCTTATTAAGGAGCAGAGCCAAACTGCTACAGTTAGTATGCACAGTCTGTTGGATTCTCCGTGGAGTACAGTGTATATACAGTGTATCAATGAACCGTGTTCTGGACCCCACATATCATCAGTTGTCACGGTCGTGTACCAAGCTTCAAGTGGATCAGCGATTAATTTTTAATAGGCTGTCAAGGGAAAAAGGGAGCAACCTCTTGTCTCTGGTGAAACTAATAGCACTCAGCCCTCTAGATGATCTCTTGATCCTTGTAGCAAACATCTGCGCCGCTTGTGGCAAAGGTTAGAATATTTACTGCACTGGAAGTTCTGTGCTAGATTTAGACAGGAGGCCTACAACGGTGTACATGCATGCCCCTGCACACAAGACGCTGGACACCGTAAGGCATACTGAACACACAGTAGAGTCCAGGGTTTATGTTGTACAATGTACATGTGTACATTTTACTTTGGATGGACTGTCAGCATCAGCACAGAGCAGTTGGCCTGCAGGCAGTGTGTAAGCCTGTGAGGACCATCGATACCGGTAGCAGGACCTGTATGCATCACATGGTGGAATACCGTACATGTACATGTACATTCATGCGTTGTTTATGTAGTCCCCTCAACTACTGATGGATCCTTCAGTCAAAAACAACAAGCGGCCATCTCGCTTTCCTCCTGTGATTTCTGTGGTAAGTCACAAATCCCAACTGTTTGATCCCAGAAGTTCTTCCAAAACCCACTGTCTGAGGTTTTGACAGATGTTGAAGGATTGTATTAGTAGGAAGGCTGAATCTTTATCAGTATTACTTTGTCTTTTGCGTTGGGGTGATATGAAGGATTTCTTGAGCTCCCGGTAGCTTTAGAAGTCTTCCATACCGGTACATGTACGTGTACATGTACCTTCATGCCTACACGTATGCACATACCGGTTATGTATACTGTACATGTACATACTGGTATGTTTCTGGCAACATGCATACATGTACATGTACATATACAATGTACATGTAGATCCTGTGGTGTACATGTACCTGTGTGCGTTCTTGTGTGGAGATTGACAACTCACTAGCACAAAAGTTGAAGTTAAACAGCCCTTCATGTACATGTACGTACATGTACATGTGTGTACCGGTACAGCATGCACTCTCTGGTAGATCAAGAGCTTTTTTGTTGTTGTTAAACAGGTCAAAGCGACATGTCAATCTCTTACTGATTTTCTCAAAAAGATGAGAAAAAAAGATAATTACAAATTCGTGTAATGCAAAAATGACAAATGTTTTTAAGCCCCCTCCTTAATTACATCTAGTTCCAAATTTGTATATACAGTACATGTACATGTACATGTATGTCCCGTTTCCCTACCTGCCTTATTTTGATGGTGCAACCCTCAAGTTTTTTGGGTGGAGAAAATTTGGGGGAAATGTGAAGAAAGAAGTAAAAAAGTGTCTATTTACATGTAAGTTTGAGTCACATGGTGCATAAAGGTTCAGCAGACCTATATTGTTATATACACTCAGCTTGCACACTTTAAAGTGTCCTTTTTATTTGGAACAAATACCGCCTGACCTCTCTTACTGATGTTACACAAATTTAGCCAGTTAACATTTTGCTGCACACTGAATGAGTATAAATTAAACATGTGAAACAAATCTTACTGTACATGGACACGTAGATGTACCTGCCCTGTGGTCAAAACTACTGGTATGTTTTTTTCCTGATCAAAAATTAAAAAATACATACATGTACATGTAACATTGATTTGGTGACCAAATGCCATTCAAAAAAAGCAAAATGATTATACATCTAGACCAGTCAAGTCCTAGTAAAAAAAAGCACAGTGGACAATTTAAAACTATGTATTTTCGTGTCGCCAAATTTGTATTCCAATGAAGTCATCAAAATTTTGTTCATAAAACAATAACTACTGTATTTGCCGTGAATTCAAGAAAGATATTTGAATTTCAGGCTAAAAGGGGGTAATTTTGCTTCCCCGGCTGTTCCAATTGTGCAAAATGCAGAAAAATTGCTATGAGGACCAGTCAAGTGTTGGTAAACTTCATATAGCTAAGATACGACCACACTGGTCCAGTTGGTGAATAGTAAAAGAAACAGTGTAAACACCGTTAATTAAAAATAGACACTGTTCAGTGTTCATGCATAGTACATGTACTTGTAGTTTGGTATGAATTCAAATAGTCGCTAAAGATGTTGGCTCAGTAGGCTTTTGAGGCCCATAAAAATACTACTTACGTGTTACCCATCTCTGCCAATTCATTTTCAATCTTGTCTTATCACGATAAAACAAGCCATCTATAAAATGTGTCAGAGACAGAGACTTTGCACCGTACGCGTAGTTCACATCAATTTTGGCACACGCAGCTTTGTCCGTTCATTGTCCACCTGGGATAGTTGATGCGTGGTTTTGTTTTCATCAAGTGTTTCCTAAGGACCTATGAGTGGTCTTTGGAGAAACTGAATTGTTTAGTTAATAATTGAATGTTTTGTGAATGAATTCTTTACAAATCTGGAAGCATATGCATAACAGGGTATCCAAACAGGTGCCATAAACACAGCAGACTACTGGCAGACTGGAAAGACAGGTGCTGTACAAGACAATGCATACAAAAGGGCAAAAAAGTACATTTCCCGTTTGATAATGCAATTAGATTTTGCAATGCCATTTAATTTTTCCCATTAACCATTTAGCATGGGCTGATGCTTCTACCGTACGCGTAGTACATGTACTTTGAAGGTAGAGTACTGGGCCATTGGAAGTTAAATTGTGGTATTGTGAAAATCTGCAATTGGTTGTACATGTACATGTAATTGGAACCTTTAAATGACAGATACTGTTAAAAACAATGTACGGTGACTACGGTACATACATGTATATCATATCACATTAAACTCCCTGTGAATATCCAAGTATTCCATTTGGGATACTGATTATGTTGCTGAAAACCACAAACATGATAGAAGATTTTTCCAAGATGCAGCACATTGTGGGTACACGTAATTTCAGGGAATTACCGGTAATCCAAACAGATGCATTTTGCATACTGTACATGTACATGTGTTGATTGTTAACGCTAAGCTAGTTATCCAACACAAGTAAAATACTACTTGAAGTGCCAGCACATTTAGCTGTGCACGTACGGGTGGCTCTCTTAATGCAGTAGAAACATGTACATGTACAGTAGATGACACGTGTTACTTCAAGTTTAGACTTAGTCATAGGCATGTCAGAGTTGACTTTATTACATGAACATGTACCTTTAACTGATAAATGTACGTACAGGTACAGTACTTGTACTAGTCTTAGACTGAAGCATGGACTTAACTTAAGACTGAAGCAAAATACCTACAGATATTCAAAGTCCAGCCCAGACTGGATCTCTAGCTCAAGCATGTCAAGTGAAGTTCATGCATCAAGTTTATTTTGTGTGTGTGCTTTTGACTCCGCACTTTCTCCCTCGTGATTGATTGGATAAGTTCCGAAAGAAAGCGGATACTGCCTCAAAAAACAAACTACAAAACGGTTGAATGGGCCCCCGTTAACTAAATGACCGCACTTATTCCCACCCTGCAACTGCAGGCATTTGTGTCTCAGTCCTCCCTACAGGTGAAAGATCCGGTGCCAACAGAGACGACCACCAGCTCAGCTACGCCGGCGCCACCGACTTCCAATAAGGAAGGCCAGTCAGTTCTTCCAGCAGCCCCAGGTCACGTACCCAGCCCCGCAGGGGCAAGTACTGGCCATGCTCATGTATGTTTCATAGTACACATGCTGCACAGATTTAACATGCACAGATTGTACATGAACTGTATGTAGTGAGATCTAACAGTTTTCAAGATACATTTGTAAATTGTACCAACCTACATACATGTAATCCCAGAACTGCGAGTTTGATGTCAACAAACAGAATTTCGTATTGAAAGGATGTTTTCAAACGGAAGAAAGTTAAATAATGTTAAATGAATATTTTCAAATGATGAAATCAGTTTACCGTACATGTAAAATAAAAGGTTAGGCCACAGGAAATAAAGCAAAATGCCAAGCTTTTTTCCAGATGAGATTTGGTTTTAAACTAATGGAAAAAAAAATGGCCTACACATGTACATGTACGTGTACATTATAGATCTTGCGGACATTACATACATGTACAAGTATATTTGCTATGGTGTCTCGTATTCCTACTTAGTGTCTTAGAATAGGCTTAGAATGCATGCTCCCACACTCTACAGTCGTTTTTAAATTTTCACGTACATTGTACATGTAGGTTTACATAAAGTTTTTGCACAATGAAAAAGTGCTTTATGTTCAGTTCACAAGCTTTTGTGCCATGAACTGTAGAACAGTCATCATACATATACATAGTTTTCATGCATTTGTAGTAAGCATTTCCATGTACATGTACATTGTACATGTTCAAGTATACCACACCACATCACACATGTTTATGTATACCTGTTTGATATGTCATCTGTTTCTACTCTGTTCTTTGCAACTTACAACCAAAGTTACTACATCATAGTACATGTATAATTTCATATACATGCTTTTGAGATAATGCCCTTTAAACACATCAAACAGAAACATTAAACTTAAATTAGACACTATCTTGGTTTTCCTTAGCAACAGAGGCATTCTAAGTCAAGCAACTGGCCTCAAGACATGCAAGATATTTCCAAATATTTTCACTCTCGGCACATGGAAAGGGCCATTACGCGTTTTGGCATTGCATGACTTAATATTCCTTTTTGCAGCTCTAGCATGTCACATACATGTATACCGGGTACATGTACCATGTACCATGTACATGTATGTAGTTTCTGGGAGCAGCAAAGTGGCAGACACATAATCTCCCAGGCTGCCAGGGTGCCACGTGCCCTGGAAAATGCTTAGAAAAGCCATATCCCTCATTTTATACATCTACAGTACCATCAACAGTTGTGCAGTTGCTTATGTTGAGCACAATCAGCGTGTACAGTGGTCTGTTATTGTGCACATTTGAATATTGTGTATTGTACATGCACATGTACATGTATGTGTTCATCGTTGCACTGTACCATTTTTTTACGTGTATCAGAAACTTGGCATTAGTCGCTGTCTACAAGCAATGAACAAACATTCAAGACCTCTGACGCAGGGCATTTTCTCTGTACATGTACATGATGTACATGTAGGTTGAACCATGGAGGAAAATCCTGGGACTTGTTTGGGTTTGAAGTGGCAGAATTTGCAGTGATTAACTGTGTGATTTTCCAGGTTTTGCTTTTCCTTTGTGATAAAGTTTTTCATTAAACTTTACATGTACATATATGTATACCATAAGTGTGCATTCATGTAATTATGGTTTTTACGAAAAATGGAAGAAAATTTCATCAGAACATACATGTACATTTCAGCGTATATGTGTTCATATGTGCAAGTACTTATTTTCTGAACATCATGCTCATAGGACCGGTACGTGTACCTGTATACATGCACACACAACGTACATGTTGGTAGTGTTCAGTAGTTTACATTATAGCACTCCGGGAAGGCTTTGGACCCTGTCCAGATCTTTTCAACCATAGTGGGAAAAATGGGATTTTTCGAAGGATTGTCCACAAGTTTGTTTCCTCCATAAAAAAATCCCCCAAAGGCAGGTGTTAGGACCATCGCTGCGGTAAATATCTATCCCCCTGCCTTCCCTGCCCCTTCCGCTTGATGTGTCATAGCTTTTCATGTGACGTTAAATGTAGATGACAGCTACATGTACATGTAGCTGATCATGTTTGTGCATAATAGAGATAACTAACAGTAGCTCTGTGAGTCTTGTTGTTGAGGTACATGTACGTACGAGTGTATTGTTTTAACCTACCTTCCATCTACGTTGTTAAGGCAAGTCCAAATTTCTGGCAAATCTGAAAGCAAAGTAATGGAGTACATGTATTTGATGTGAAATTTGCTGAATTGAAATGTGCTCAACTTACGCAAATTCACTGGACAGTTGATCATACAGTATACATGTACATGTACATGTACATGTATGCACCGGTATCACAATTTCTTTTTCATGTCTCCTTTTGTGCCAAATTATAAACCGGCCTTAACTGTACACACCAGCGATACATGTGAACAAAGCATAAAGCTTGATTGTTTCTGATTGAAGTACACTCGAGTGCCAATTTGCAAAACAGTGTGGCTACGCACAAGACTGGGCCCAATCTCAACAGCACTGCCAAGCAGATAACATTTGTTGCTTTAGAAGCAGATATCTAGGCAGAGCAACAGTCAGCCATGAATCAGACACAAGAGGTGCACGTGTCGCAAATTGGCCGGTGAGGGGTTTTTGCACAACAAATATTTTCTTTCTGCTCAGCAGATTTACGGTTGTTGTGGTTCTGTGAAACTGGCCCCTGTTCTTGTGGAGATGTTAGAGACTTGTGCACATCCTGTTGAAAAAAATTCATGCATACATGTACATGTTCGTTTGCCACCAAACATCCAGGTTCAATTTCACTTTGCTGTGTAAGCTTCCATTTTTACTTCTTTACTAGCCCCTCTGAGAGGGACACGACAAAATCTTTGGTGAAAATGAATAAATTCTTTGCTTCCTGCTCCCCAGCCATGCCAGCCCCCTCCCCCCGAAAAAAAAATGGGTATGGATCCAATGTAGAATTCCTCTGCTATTTGTAGCAATCTTTTTTTTTTATGTTTTCCTTCAGAGTTCTGATTTCCGATTTGGACGGGACCAACAAAATAATCCCTACCGTTTGTTGACGGAGTACGCTGGTGCCCCTGCCCCCGGGAGGCGTCACAGCCAACCACTGGGCAAGGATGGGGAGGGACATGAAAGGCATTCCTCAGCGAGTTACGCAGGTATGACGGCACGTCCTCCTGCAAGCATCCACTTTGAATCCACAAATGCCGTGGTGTTGTAGACTAACAGTGAAGTACATATAATGTTTGTCAAATCATGAATATGTCAACACTGTACCTTGAGCATTTTTCATGGCCAAATAAGATTTAAATATAACAGTACCGTAACAGTCGCCACAAGTGTCACCAACTTCCTTGTACATGTACGTTTTGTAAAATGCTCCCAACTCTGATAAGCTTCAGCACTCCAAAGTTAGTCATGTGTTGCTTGGTGTCACACAAACAGGAGTGCATTTTTGAGCATACACTCATCATTATGATTTAGAAATTTAGTAAATCTGGTATTCACATGCAAAAACGAACAAAACAAGTTTCTTGTCTGGAATTTTTTAACATGTTTAAAGAAGAGGACACGGCCCCTTTTAAAAGTAGGTTTTACTCTGAGGTTATGTCTGAAGGTGTATTCTCTGTATCTAACAGGCCATTTACATGTACATGTAGTTAGGAACGAAAAGTCAATTAAGTTGTAAATTCAACCCCAAAACTGAGACATTGAACATGTTGAAAAAAGAATCAGGCAAGGGAGAAGAAAGTGGATGGAAACTACAAAATTTTTCTTGTTTTTTTACTTGGCTGATTTTAGTAACTGTTTTCCTACAGTTCCCTTTGAAACAGTTTCTCAGTGATAACTACATGTAGATGATGCATTGTTTGAAATTAGAACCTCTCTCCCTTTGCTCCGTTGGCTTAGGAGAGAAGGCAGTGGCAGGCCAAATGACCCCTTTCTTCTCTGCTGTTTAGGTGTTCCGGAGCATCGTAATGCACCTAGACACCGCCAGGTCCACCACCCCGCCACGGCCTACGCGACCCAGCTGACCGACCTCAGCCACCTCGAGGGAACTTCCCACCACTCCAAAGCACAGAAAGAGGACCCCTACAACCCCTACGTGCAGCAGACTCCCCGGCTGGTGCACAGCGCCGGGGCTGTCAACACTAGGCAACAGAAGGGAACCATGCATATTCCAGGTATACATTTGTAAGATGGGCCACAGTACTGATGCTTGTACGTTCGCCCTTTATGCAGGTCTGATTTGCATATATGTGAACATGTTCATTGTACCGTTGCCCATCTTTTATCCAGTATGTGCGTTACACTTACACAGTACCATTACATTTTTTGCATGAAATACGAGGTTGGTCCGAAGCTTATTAACCACTTAGAGCTGGGTGTCCCCGAATGCGGACCCATTCGTCTAATTCACACAGCCGGGTGGCGTAAGTTGGGGACAGGAATGACTGCTATGAGTCACCATAGGCTGTAATGGTATTGTGAAGCACAATGGCATGAAGGACCACAGCGCTCTAAGCCAGCCTGGCCGACGAACGCATCGTCCGGCCCACCCATTGTTTGTCATTCCTGGGGGCTGGGGGCAATCACTGAAGCCGTTATGTAACTCCATAATAGACATAACAATGGTGACAAGTAAGGTGAATACAGATGTCAAAGTCAAAATCATAAAGCACACCCCCCCGGCAGCTTGTGATTCAAGAGACTGTTTTACCTAACGGCAAGCGGTTAAGTATGTCATATTTAAAATTTGTCCAAATGAAAACTTGTGGATTTGGCACCCCTTCCCCATCAGTGTGACATAGAGAGTCATTCAGCTAATGTGTGTGCTTCAGTTTCAGTCCTTTGCTTTTTTCTCCTTGTAATGTTGCAATATGTTTGTCAACGTGGCTGCAGTGCTAGATATTGCAGTCACACTTGGCTCGAAGAACGGGAATAAGGAATCTCTTAAAGAGACTGATTTATCAGGTACATGTACCATACTTTATCAATGGCTTGATTTTTTTACTATGGTTGGCTGTGCTATGCACATGTAAATGCTGTGTTTGGCTGACCATCTGGTGCGGAGATCGAAGTTGGGGGGAATATTGCACAAAACTGCCGTGTCTTGAGCACTTTGAATATAACCCCTGTGTAAGTCACCGTCAGACATAGGTTTGAACCATGCTTTTGATCTTCAGCTTGGATTTTGGATTCGGTTCTAGTTTTCTACATGTACTGGTACAACATGTACAAAGTGACTTTGCAGTTCCTGGATGTGGCAGGCTGGAACATCTCCATTGTTTGGCATTCTTGTAGCGTTGTGTCTACAAAATTGGCGAGGGGCATCACTGTTAATCTGCGGTTGTTGCCAACGGCGACAGAAAGGGCTTCATTTCTTTCTACTCGTTGACTTAGAGTTCATACATGTACATCACTGTGGGACAAGACAAAAGTACATGTACATGTACATTAATGTTTTCTCCAGCATTTCCTAGTTTTAAGAAAGAATACATACATGTACATGTAATGTATGTACATGTACATGTACAGTGTAAGTACACATACACTGTACATGTACACTGTACACTTCACCCCAGGATACGTGTAAGTTCACTTGGTATGGGAAAGTGAAGATTTGCAGTTCACACCTCTTGTACCGGTACATCTATATGGGACCCGCTCTGCAAAAAAGGTATTAAATCATACAATGCCAAAACACGTAATGGCCCGTTCTATTTTCCCCAAAAATTTCTTCAAAAATGTGATTTTGTGTTTTTTCCTTTAATAGCTTCTATAGTATTTACATTTTCAGAATTTGTGACTACAAACATGGATACTGATGAATAAAGACGAAAAATTGATCATTCATAGGAAATCCTACGTGTAGATACTTGTACATGTACCTGTAGCATTGTGCTTCCAAACACTACACTTCATGAGCTTTTTCTCAAAAAGTGCTTTTCTTGAATCCAAAAATATGGATATTTACAAATGCCAATACACGTACCGGTATATGTCTGGAATGCAGCTCACTACGGGGGTAATTCATATTTTAAATTGTAGCTTTTGAGGTACAGAATCCAGCCATATTAAAAACTCATCACCTGAATCTGGTGACTTACTGTATTACCCATTTTTCTAGAGCCGGTCACATATATACATGTACTGTATGTCATTGTGCTTTTTGTGTGCCTCCATGTACATGTATGACTTTTATTTGGAAAAGACTGGTTGCTATTTCTCTCTAAACTGTGTGAGTTTTTGCTGAGTTTGTAAAATATTTTCCTCTTAACTCTTGAAATCCTCCAGAGATTCTCTTGATGTGCTGCATGACATGTACATGTACTCATACTGAATTAACTTCACTTCCACCTACTTTTCATCCCCTTTTTTTCAACTAAAGTTGCTAATCTTTCAGTTATACCTTGTAAGTATAATACACGTCCCATGCACCTGTTTACTCTGTGTTTCTTAATAAGCAGGTTTTCCTGTTGGATTGTGGCTTTCTTTCATTCTCCACTATCAGATGTTTCAAATTGGAGAATGAACCATGGATTACATCCTCCAATGGAGTTTGTCATGGCATGAGAGCTACTGTACAGTGTGTAGGAACCTGTACTGTACATGTACATGTACTGGTTATATGCACCACGTAAATATTCAACTAAACTGGTTGATTTTTTTTTTTGGTAACAAAATATTGTAAAATATTGCCAATAGTATGTTTTAGAGACTTGCATTTTGTGAATGAGACTCAGGGCTTCAGTGACAGCATGCAGTCTCACCAACGTGTTATTTTTGACGTGTACAGATTTTTTTCGCAAGTTTCTCAATGCATTTTCAGACAGAAAAAATGGATGTACAGGGTGGGAACTTGAAATAGTAAGCAGACGGGGCCCATCTCAGAAAGGACATCAGTTTGGGAGCTGAAATTGGTTGTGCATATGTATGATGCATGCTGATTGCAGAAATTTATTGTCTGCACTCTTAATTTGAGCCCATTTTCTGATAACGTGGAAGCATGGACCAATGAAGTTCAAATTGTCCCAGGATTTGTCTTCAAGGTTGAATAAAATGGAGCAGTGTTCAGAGCATTTTAGGCTGTTAACAAGCACACATGTCACTGTAGTTGTGGTTGTTTTAATATCATTTTAGCCTAGGTTGAAGAACAATACATGTACATACCGGTACATGTATGAACCAGGGTTGTCTTGTGATGTTTCTTGTTGGATGAATTTCTTGATGTAAAAGACTTTTTGAGTTGTCTCAGTTCAGATATTATATGTAATACGGTGTATGTTAGTCCAGTTCATTTATTATGTTTTGGCTTGACTTACATGTAACTTAAAAATTCTTCGTTCTTCTGTCTGTGATTGCGCAAAGTTCCAAAGATTTCTTTTGGTGTGAAAGTCACTTTTAACCCTTTGCATGTAGTCTCACCTTGAGTTACAGATCTCTCTGTTGTTTGCCAAAGTTGAGTAGCATTTTGTGAGGGGGGGCATCCATGCATTGATTTCAACCCTGATTTGCAGAAATGGTTAACCAAAATGTTGGTAAATGTAGGGTACATCGCACGTGCTCATGAATATTGTAGCGGTATCTGACTATGTACTGTACAGTACGTCATTTCAGATCCACAGCACTGCTGCTTGTTCTCTGTGTTAGTAACTACACCTACATGTACATGCATAAACCAGGGAGAACGCACTACAACATGCATGGTATTGAACTATTGGAAGTTATTGTTTTGTTTTGCCACAGTGTCAAAGAGCAAGTGGAGCTGTAATATGACCCAAAAAATGGTCAATTAATGTGTTTTTGTTTTTCTTGTCATTTACAGGGGACAAGGTTATGATCGCTGAGAGTCCAAATGTCCCTGGGGTACCGGTCATATTCAGATCCCAGGAGGAGAGATCAGCCAACCCAGACAGACTGAATTTGGACAGGTACATGCAGTGGTGTACCGAAGTGTGGCTTCATTTGAACCAGGAAGTGTAGTGTAAATAAATGGAGTACGAGCGCGTGTTTGTTCACAAGCTGGTTCCCACGCTTTTACACACAATTGTGTGCATGAAGAAATCACTTTGTTACTCCATACCTGGAGCTCTAGCTGGTGCCAGTCATTTCACGTCACACAGGAATGTGTCTCAGTAGGATACAGTTTTCACAATACTTGGTCACGTATTTTGAAAATACAAAGGATGTACATAGTAAGAATTGATTATTGCATTGATTGGATTTAACCTTGGCTTATATAAGTTTTTCAGTCTTGAAGTACTTGAAATAGTGCCGCCATATTAGACCGCCTTGAGCAATGTAAACAGTGGTCGTTCATGTGTGTTTTATACGTGTGCAGAGGTCCAAGTTAGATTTTCCGAGTGTTGAGTGGGAGAATTCCTGAAAAAACATTGACATATACAATGTATGAAGTTGTGTTGTGCTGTGGGATGTGACAATAAACAAGAAGAATGCCGTGATTTAGAATTCTATAGAATTCCTGGGGAAAAGGACCAAAGGGATCGTTGGATTGCGGCGATTCCCTGAGAAAATGGGGATCGTATATTTGGAGACCCTGTTCCTCTAATAGAGGGGAGACTGACATTTTATTTTTTGGATTCACCTAGGTAGATGACTATGATGTCAAGCTCAATAACTGTAGGGTTGATGTGAAAAGAGGGCAGAGTGTTGAGTTCTCAGGGAAATTATGAGGGGAAACTGGAAGTGTTTTAACACATGACACATGGTGGATTACAATTTACACTTGGGTCATTCCATGAGGTTGGGGCACAATTTGTAACAGTGTCCATTGTAATGTGGGATCCGTAAAAATGAACAGCTATTTCCCTGCATGTGAATTCTAAATTATACATCTTTCCTTGCTGAATATAGAGGTGTGTGTTACTTTTAGAGAGTAAGTTACCTACTCTACAGGTCATGAGAGGTGGTAAAAGTTACCCATGTAACAAGGACACCATCACAAATTGTGCTTCAACCTCAACCTTCCTTTTGGAATGACCCAATTCAAAATTTCCCAAACGAGGGTCAACATAATAAAAAGAGCGGCGCCTTTGGTTATTGGGGAACTGACCAGTTTTACAAAATTAAAATGACAAACTGGGGCATCCCCAAGCACGCAATGGTCAAGAAAACTGAGTTCCATCTCATTCAGCTGGGCTCTGCAGTGAACACTTCACATCCGGCAAGTTTCAACATTAGGTGTCCAGACATGATCAGAAATACCTGAGAATGTGGAATGTTGTGGACATCAACATCATTCACCCATGCTACCACAAAATTCTTGAAAGCATCCTGTCTTTTGTAGGCCTTCAACAAATGCTTCGTGTAGTGCGACGTGGAGTCCACCGAGTTGTTATAGGTACTGCACGTCGAGTAGGTGAACGCTCATTAGAAGGCCCGAACATAGCACTTCAGGCATGGAATATGGGTCCGATATTTGTAGAGATACCAATTTTGACAAATATCTTGCTTTGTCGTTGCCCGTTAGATGCTGAACGAGCGGAGAAAGCATTGGAGAATCCGCCATGCTTTTGCTACTCGGGCAGACCGAACATGCAATGTGTGCATTGCTGCATGCATTATGTGCACAGTGCGATGTACATGTATATGAGGCGGTCCAACATGGCGGCATTGTTTACAAATGTGCGCTTATGGTCATGTGGGTGAAAAAGGTCTATAGTCAAGTATTTCTTGTAGCATTGTTTCTGGCAGTGGTTAGTATTGTATGGTTGATTCATGCAAGTTCCAGTAGAGGAGAGTAGTTGCATTTCCCAGAATTTGATAATTCGCTTGATTTTTTTTTTCCCGGCAATCTTGTAATAGACAAACTCAGAATCATGTTACCTGTGTGTACATGTGGTATGAGTGTCACTTGCATTGATGAAATTTTTATTATAAAATTCCTTGAAAGGTTTGCTACACAGAAGTCTGGCCACGCCAGAAACAGTCATTGTCATTCTGTGGCTATGGTCGTTTTCCCATGACGACATTATGGCAGAAAGTCATAGACTAACCACTTTGGACACTCCTCTACCTGCACAGGAGGCGGTTGACGATGTGCCCAATCCTTGAAGGGGAGGAACACCTGAGGTTGCTCAACTTTCAGCACAACAACATCCGCAAGATAGAGCACCTGACCAGCATGAGGAGGCTGATATTCCTGGACCTGTATGATAACCAGCTGGAGGAGATAACGGGTTTAGGTGCACTCAAATCGCTCAGGGTGCTGATGCTGGGTAAAAACAGGTGAGTACAAC